CCCCCCCCCTGTACAAACATTATCTCATCTCAGAGTGGCTGTAAAGCAATGGGAAAAAAGTAGTAACAGCGGAATTCTATCACTCAATAGAAGACAGTGCAAGCATGAACTATGCAAAGAATATACAGATAAATACCCCTCCCATGCTCGCCTCCAGGACTTCTCTAGAGTCTCTCCCATCCTCTGGAACTCTTTACCTCAACCTGTCCTGACTATCTCCTACTCTGACCGCCTTTAGTCGATCCCTAAAGACTCATCTCTTCAGGGATGCCTATTCCACCTCAACCTAACCACTGAACCATCACTTTCTCAGACAATTTATCCCCCCACAGCTACCTCCTCATGTATCACTTGCCATACTCCCTTTTGGAATGTAAGCCCTCACTGGCAGGGCCCTAATTACCTTCTTGTCTTGATTTGTATTGTGATTGTAATGTCTTTCTTACATTGTAAAATTGCAAACTGCTGGCGCTATATAAATCTTGTATAATAATAATATGGGATGTACTGTATATTTTGTATGTCCGTTAAAAAGACCAACATGCCTCTCTCTCTCTCTCTCTCTCTCTCTCTCTCTCTCTCTCTCTCTCTCCTGGACTGTTCTAATTGGGCAAAGCTCTGGCATTTCATGGTAGTGTTGGTGCTTGCCCACCCCCTCACACATACCACACATTCCTATTGGAGCAGTATGGCAGCCTGTCATTGCCAAGCACCGACACTACCCCAAAGTGCCTAAACTCACCCCCCATGCAGTGCTGCTACAAGGGGATTTGGGGCATGCCATAAACTGCAACTGTGGACAATCATAGATACCATCAAGTTGCCAGTGACATTGCAAATGTGAAAGCAAGCACTGGTGGAGGTAGACAACCACACATGTGAAAATGCCATGTTGGTATTCTCTTTGCCAGACATTAATAAATTAATAAGAAACCTGCTGCCTCTTAATTTTAATTACACGCTGTTATTGTCCAAATATAAAAGCCCATTGCAGACTGCGCTGGGATCCATGGTAATCAGATTGCAGACACATTTGCTTTGCAAGCCGGTAATTTATTCAAGTGAATGACAATTGATGCACCTTCAGGGCCCGGCTCGTCCCTGTAGTTTAGCTATCAGATACATCGTAAGTGTTTATTTGTTGCTGGAAATGTCGCTGTCGATATAGGGAATTCAATGACCTCTATTTCTTCTACTCCTGAAATGACTGCAATACATAAATTATCTCAGGACTTTGTCAATAGGAAGGAGGACAATTTACATGAAAATCTGATGTGTGCATAGTTTTATCTACATAGCCAACTAATGTCCTGATGCTTAAAGGGAACCTGTCAATGGAAGCAATAGTGCAAACTGGTGTTGATGGTATAGCAAATACCACAAGGCACCAATCCTTACCACTGACTTAGCAACATTTCTCTCCCCTCCAAAT